CTTCCGTGGCAAAGCAATAAATTGCAGAGATCCTATTACAGAGGAGTTCATCCTGCAAACATGTCACAACAACCTCTCCATCGATGTCCTGGAAGCTCTGGGGGTTGTGTCATCCACAACTTGGAAGGAGTTAAAATCTCGGGGTGAACAAGCTGAGCACTTTCTTAAAAGAAAGAAAGCTGAGAGAGGCCAACCAATGACATCTGCAATCATTGAGAATGCGACTCTCGATCCGAGGTTTCAAAAAGAATATTCTTTCGAAGATGATGAAGCTCCAGCCATCTTGGAATACCTCCTCGCTAATGACAAAATCGAGCTACCACCTATTAAAGATCAGGATGGAGCTAAGAGGATTACGGATCGATTATGGATCCAAATTACTGTGCGTACCACAGAAGGGTTCTTCATCCCACTGAGATTTGCTTTGGACTCAAAAACAAGATCCAAGCCCTAATTGACTCCGGCGTCATAACGACGAAAGAAGTCGAGTAAAGACGACCATAAAACTCCATTGGGTACACGAGTATAAACTGTTTCCCCTCACTCCGAAAAGTATACGAGTATAAACTGCTCCTCGATACTCCAAAAGGTATATGAGTCTAAACTATTTCCTTTCCTTAACGGGAAGTTCCTGGAGAATCCTATATTCTTAAGGATAACCCGAACATATGACTGAGGTTAACGTACTCCTCGTTATACCCAGTGTTACAAAGAAAGCTGGGGGTCGATAATTCATGTAATGGGAAGTTCCTGGAAGAATGTTAAATATAATATTCTTAGGGATAACCCGATTATTATGGACAGAATGATAAATACTAAGCTCCTATTATGATTTTCGAACACTCTTTTGCTGAGATGAGATTCGATCACTTCGTTAGATCAATCTTCCCTCACAAAACCCATTTGGTCAAACCTTTAAACAGTTAGGACCGAAGCCAAAATCCCCTCTCGATTCGTTCCATGAACGAGAGGTCCACAAATTGAACGATCAAACCTTTAAACAGTTAGGATCGTCTCAAATTCCCATCTTGGTCAAACCTTCAAACAGTTAGGACCAAAGCCAAAATCCCCTCTCGATTCGTTCCATGAACGAGAGGTCCACAAATTGAACGATCAAACCTTTAAACAGTTAGGATCGTCTCAAATTCCCATCTTGGTCAAACCTTTAAACAGTTAGGACCAAAGCCAAAATCCCCTCTCGATTCGTTCCATGAACGAGAGGTCCACAAATTGAACGATCAAACCTTTAAACAGTTAGGATCGTCTCAAATTCCCATCTTGGTCAAACCTTTAAACAGTTAGGACCAAAGCCAAAATCCCCTCTCGATTCGTTCCATGAACGAGAGGTCCACAAATTGAACGATCAAACCTTTAAACAGTTAGGATCGTCTCAAATTCCCATCTTGGTCAAACCTTTAAACAGTTAGGACCAAAGCCAAAATCCCCTCTCGATTCGTTCCATGAACGAGAGGTCCACAAATTGAACGATCAAACCTTTAAACAGTTAGGATCGTCTCAAATTCCCATCTTGGTCAAACCTTTAAACAGTTAGGACCAAAGCCAAAATCCCCTCTCGATTCGTTCCATGAACGAGAGGTCCACAAATTGAACGATCAAACCTTTAAACAGTTAGGATCGTCTCAAATTCCCATCTTGGTCAAACCTTTAAACAGTTAGGACCAAAGCCAAAATCCCCTCTCGATTCGTTCCATGAACGAGAGGTCCACAAATTGAACGATCAAACCTTTAAACAGTTAGGATCGTCTCAAATTCCCATCTTGGTCAAACCTTTAAACAGTTAGGACCAAAGCCAAAATCCCCTCTCGATTCGTTCCATGAACGAGAGGTCCACAAATTGAACGATCAAACCTTTAAACAGTTAGGATCGTCTCAAATTCCCATCTTGGTCAAACCTTTAAACAGTTAGGACCAAAGCCAAAATCCCCTCTCGATTCGTTCCATGAACGAGAGGTCCACAAATTGAACGATCAAACCTTTAAACAGTTAGGATCGTCTCAAATTCCCATCTTGGTCAAACCTT